CTTCTCCGGCTTCTGTTGCTTCACGCACTCGTTCCCTCCGGAATGCCTGTCGGTGTGACTTGCCCACCTGGCACGAATCACAGAACATTTCTCCGGTTTCTGGAAGTTTGACTCCTTTCACCAGTCCTTTTTTCACAAGCTCTCGCATCGCGCGAGCATTCACGTGCCCAAATCTCTCATGCCAAGTCTGAAAATCCGTCTTCGCGACATTTGCTTCGCTGTTTTGTTTCACGCATTTTGTACGAAACAGCATCCGATATATCTGGTTTTCTTGCTTCACTCCGTATCCTATGGTCGTTCCGTCCTTTTCAATTTGAACCTGCTTTCCGCTGAAATACACTCCAAGACCTTTAGACGTACAGACACCGACGGAGAACAAATTCTTTTTCATATCCGGGACATGTAGCACCTTTTCAATTCGCGACGTTCGCCACGTGCCATCGATGTATTTTTCGACCTCGACCGTTCCTTCACCGATCACTCGACATTGTTTATCATTTCCGAGGGACACTGTTCCCCCGTCCGACAGTTCACGATATTCACGTAGCCACTCGCGTCGATAAGTTATATGACGGGATGCGCCACTATCGGTAAGCCAGATATCACTTTTACCTGCCTTTAGCACCAGATCTGCAATGTCAGTCGGTATCTCGAGATGTCCTTCTTTACCTGCACTCTCGACTATATGAACGCGCAATCGCTTGAACCACTCGCATCACGGTTTTCTTTCTCCCGCCATTTGCCTCTGCACTCCCGTGCGTAATGTCCAAGCTTCTGACACCGGTAGCACCGCACTTTATCAGAATCTTTGTCTTTTGAACTGTCTTTCACATTAGTCTGTGTTTTTTTCACTTTCACAGTTGACTTACCAGGCTTTTTTGCATCTGTTTTCTTTGTCGCCGCGAACGCTCCCGGAGCTTCGTCATTCGACGATATGCGGGCTTCTTCTCGAAGCAGCCTTTCCTGCAGATTTCCCATCGTTTGCATGTCAGGCGACATATTGTCCCATGCCGTCTGGAAGCTCGCATATTTCTGCGACAGACTTCCGAGCACCTTCGCCATTATCATTGCCTCTGAGACTTGCTCTCCCACATCAACTAGCTGTGCTGCCATGTTCTGGATTTTGGCTATATGCTGCACTATTGAATCATCCACTGACATGCGACACTCGTAGAACCGCGTCAGCAGCAGCAGCAGTCTGTTCGACGCCGATTTTTGTTCATGCACGGAAGATAGTTGTTTCCACATCTCACTCGCCGTCCCGCTTGTGAGCAACGGACGTAGATGTTCCGGCTCAAGCGTCGATGATAGCAGAAACATCGCTTTTGCGTTCTCCGCTTGCCACGTTTCCTGAGCTTCTCCTGCCTGCGCTGGCTTGACTTTCGTTCCCTCGACAATATCCCATATTCGATGGGCCACGATTAACATGCGCATTTGGAACTTCCACCCTTGAAAGTCCTCTCCATTAAATTTCGTGATGTTTCGCGTTGAGATTGCCTCAGCCATTATGGATTTCACTCGCGACCACGTGCAGCTACCCGGTAACAAAATGTCCACCGCCCCTTTTTTGGCTCGTATACTACGCTTCTCGCGTGTTACGATTTCGCACCTTACATCTCACGCTTCTCGCGTCTCACGGTTCTCCCGTATCCCTGCTTCGCACCACTTTGCACACAAATTCTGCGCAGTCAGCGGGCCTGGGCCCATAACCTGTTGATACTTTTCTTGCAGAAATAGGAATTCGTATACGGGGAGATTTAGTAAAGTGCATGCACACCACTCTGTATGTGAATATGAGATAGAACACAGTTTCTTTATTATAAATCAAAGAGAACACACACGTTTTTACCGCGTACCGTGAGAGACGTGTATCAGTCTCGGCGCTCAAAAAAGAATACCTACAATAAAAGGTAACGGACGCAGGACAAAGCTCGACCCGCGCAAGAAGGGGCGCGCTCATTGGCCGCCTCGATTGCGCCGTCTCGAGCACGTCAATCTCGCGTGCTCCACTGGAATGTAGGAGAGGAAGGCGGACACGCATTAAACATCCTCAACAATTCTAAACAATTTTTAGCCCAACGGGCTATATCTCGATGCATATGTGGCCACACATATTTTTGGCGGATGGTTCGATCCGTTATTTTTGCGCTAGGGTGAGCGGATGCGTGAAACAGGTCAAAAACTTTGCGCCGAAGTGATAATGGTATATCTCAGCTAGCAAGGTCACGTGATAATGACGTGAATTTTTGGTACAAATAACGTCAATTATGACATAAAAGTAACGTTATTCTGACGTATATATCACGTGATTATGTCACATCTTATTGACGTTATTTTATTACGTCAGGGAGACGTAAATATGACTAAAAAGTACTATTAGTGTCACTACTAGTGCAATAATGCAGTAGTAAATTCGTATATGCTTCGTGTAGAAATTGAAGTAAAATACCGGTCAGTTTTTCCTAATTACTGAAAAAAAAATTTTCTCTAAATTCGAGAATTAATTTTTTTTCATGATGCATCCCAAACGGTCACCCATCCGAAGTTGTACCACGACCTCGCATGCTTAACCTTGACAATCGTACGGGAACTGCTGTACTTCGATGACCCACGAATCTGTATGTCAATGTCTGTATAATTGTGATATATCTGTTCAATGGAAATATTGAAATCAGATGGTTTATGTGTTTATATGATAGTGTATGTATTAGTGTATGTATTAGTATATGTATCATTTCCGTAAGTGTAATGTGCATGACATATCATTTTATCCTTGTTTTTCATCGAATATTAAAGTATAAAATGATACATCAAATAATAATACACAAATAATAATAAAAAATAATTAATTAGTAATGGTCTTATATATGACGTCAATGTAACATCTAGTTGACGTCATATCGATGACGTCAACTTTTGGTATTACAAATGACGTCAAAATAACGTTCCATTTATGTCACTTGACGGCATTGTCATCAAAATCACTTCATAATCACGTCATTATCACGTGAGCTTGCTAGCTGGGATATAGTCTGATTCGCCTGACATTTCGCAATAAATTTGTGAATGCTCTGAGCCCAGTATAAGTTTTGATAATTTCATTGACGTTGTTGTGGATTTTAACAGTTGTGGTAATTGAGGATCATCTTTCTGGAGTTTGGCCAACTCCAATAACTCGATATCACAAGCTAAACGCAGTGATTCGATCCGTGACAAGCTATCTGCTACGATGTTTTCCTGGCCAGTAATGTGAGTGATGCAGGAGGTGAATTGTGAGATAAATGATAGTTGACGTAGCTGTCTCGATGAAGCTTTGTCTGCGCGTTGATTGAACGCGTAAATAAGAGATTTGTGGTCGGTGAGAACTGTAAATTGTCGTCCTTCTAGAGAGTAGCGGAAATATTTAATGGCTTCGTAAATCGCAGTTAATTCGCGGTCATAAGCGCTGTAATTTTTCTGAGTGGGTGTAAACTTCCTCGAAAAGAATGCTAATGGTTTCCACGAATGTCGAGAAAGTTGTTCGAGTACTGCACCCATTGCGAAATCAGATGCATCCGTAGTCACGCGTAGTTGGGCGTTAGGAATAGGGTGTGCTAGTAATGCGGCGTTGATTAAGCTAGCTTTACATTTTTCGAACGCATTTTCCGTTTTGTTTGTCCATTTAATGATGCGTTTGTCGTTCTTGCGTGAGTCTTTGAGGAATGCGTGTAAGGGTGTTTGAGAAGACGCAGCGTTACGCAGATAATTGCAGTAAAAATTAAGCATGCCGAGGAAACGGCGTAAATCTGCAACTGATTTTGGTTTTGGAAAATTTTGGATTGCGTTGACTTTTTCTGTTGATGGTTTGCAGCCCTTGGCGTTAATATGATGTCCTAAGGAGATTAGCTCTGTTGTGCCTATAACGCATTTGTCAGTATTTAACGATAGTCCGAATTCTTTGAGTCTTGAAAGGACTGTACGTAAGTGGTGTTTGTGTTCTGCTGCAGAAGATGATTAAAATATCGTCTATGTACGAAAAAACAAAATCTAGATCTTTAAGTGCTAAGTTTAAATAGCGCTGAAATGTCTGCGCGGCATTTCGTAATCCGAATGTCATTACTGTGAATTCAAATAATCCAAAAGGTGTAATTACCGCTGTTTTCGGTATATCTTCCTCGGCTACGGGAATTTGATTGTAAGCTTTGGATAGATCTAAAGATGAAAATATCTTTTTGCCATGTAAGTTGGCTGAAAAATCGTGCAAATGCGGTACCGGGTATTTGTCAGGCACAGTCACCGCGTTAAGGCGACGGTAATCGCCGCAGATTCTCCATTCCCCCGTTTTCTTGCGGACCATGTGGATAGGATTGGCCCAGGGACTACTGGATGGTCTGCAAATGCCGAGTTCGATCATGCGTTTGAATTCTGCTTTAGCCGCTGTTAATTTGTCTAAAGATAATCGGCGCGGCGTAGGCGCTCTGCAACCGGGGGGCCGGTCGTGATGATGTGATGATTAACGGCTCTAGGTGTATATGCAAGGTTTTGAGCGATGCCCGTCACTTCCGGAAATTCTCTAAGAATGTGCGCGAACTCAGAAGAATGATCAATGATTGAGATCTTGAATACTGGCGAGGCTGTCAATTTTCCTTTTACTGAAAGAGAGGTGGTTCGATCGGTGAGAGTGCGCTCGTGTAGATTGACTGATAGGCGGTAATGTTTCAATAGGTCAGCGCCTATTATAGCAAATGGAATATCCGCCACGCAGAAATTCCAGGTTATGGGTCTTCGCAATCCGAGGTTTAACGTTAGACGAAGTGTGCCATAAGTTGTGATGCGTGTGTCATTTGCTGCGTAGAGCTTTAAGTTAGATTGTGTTTTAATATTGGTAGAAGAAACGGGAATAATGGACAATTCCGCGCCGGTGTCGATGAGGAATTTGCGCCCAGTGATTTTATCAAATATGTGGAGACGGTTTTCTGTAACTTTACCTTCACCGACCGTTTCCAACCGGGAAGGTTTTTTTAGTTTTCCTGGGTTGCCTTTTCATCGATCCAATTACACGGCTGTTGACATCGATATGCTTTACTACCAAATTTGCGATGATAGAAACATTTTCTGTCCATGCTACGAAAGCGGTTACGTCTTCTCATTGAATGACGTGAGTTACCCGGTGAACTAGACCGTGAGCGTGATCTTCTTTCACAAAGCAGAGTGTTCATGCCTTGAACTAGCTGTTCTAAAAGTGACTGTTTGGACGGCTTATTAATGGGACTAGCTTGAGGAGTGTGATCACTTGCCAAATCTTCTGCTTTTGATCTGGTTACAGGAGCTAGTGCGTTGTTTGATGACACTGATTCTGCAATTCTATCCGCTATGGAAGCGAGTTTACTGAGGTCGGGCTCTTCGATCGTTGCTAAAATAGTACGATAACTCTCTGGAAGCTGCTCGATAAACAATGTTTTAATAATACTATCGGTGGCGTTGTCCTCGGCTAAATTAAGTTCTTGTAGTAAATGAGATGGCTTTTTCTCGCCGAGAACCTGTCCTTTCAGTAGCTGACGTAGTTTAGCGCCTTGAGAAATTGAAAAAACATTTAGTACGCGTTCTTTTAAAGTATCGTATTTTCCGCTCGCAGGGGGATTCAAAATTAAATCTTTGATATGGGGAAGAATCGCGGTATCTGCATTCGCTAATATAATGTGAAATTTAGTTGTATCGTCTGTAATTTTCGCTATGTGGAAAGACGCTTCTACGGTAGCAAACCATATTTCCAGATCTTTTGCCCAGAAAGGGGGAATTTTGGGCACTCTGTATGAACTGATTTGACCGAGTGCCTCTTCCGCCATACTAACTGTTATCTGAATGATATACGTAGTAACGTTGATTATTAAACGCGAGCTTATGTAATAATGCGCGGGTGCAAAAGGAAAAGGTGTTATACTAAGCCTTATTGTAAAAACGCAGTATACTATCGTTGGCTGTCTTGCTCGAAGGGCTGTGGATCTGTCGTGGCGAAGCAGCCTGCCGATGCGGACTCGAAAAATGGCGGTGCGTTGCAAACGGCCTTGTTCGAGAGAGATGCTTATTCGTCGGCGACTTGACTCTTCCCGATATGCCGCGTTTACTATAATTCGCGTGATCGCTTAAGTATGTGATGGATCACGTCGGGGTCACCAGTGTAGGGATTCAGACAGTAGGATTGATATGGTTCAAGCAAATAGGCTGATGAACGTAGAACTATATTTTATTTCTCTCTGGACAAGTATTACTTACTACTTTCGTCTACACTCGAAGTGTAATGGCTAGACCGCCAGTCCTACCAACTTACAAGTAAACCTACCCAAGTGTAACTCTCCGATTTTGATGAGCTTTTAGTATGTTGTTCTCCAAAGAAAAATAAGAGACACGTATTTTTTTTATACGTGCCCATACGCACTTTTAAAGGCTGAAATATCGCTTTGAAAAAAAAACGGTTTTTCTCTTTCGAAGCGAATATCGTCGAAAATATAAGAGATAGAAAAAAATTTCTAGAATAAAAATAGAATGGCTTCAAGGGTACTTTACAACTATAATAAAAAAAAATTTTTTTTAGTTATTTATTTATTATATACCTTCACCCTCCACTCCTATTTTCAAAAATTTTTTTATCTTTATATGACAAAAATTAAAGAGCATAATTTACTGAAAACAACGGTGTATATTTAAATTATTTTCCGTAAAACCATTTTTCAAAAATGGACGAAAACGTCTGTATACACGCTCCATACGTATTCGTACACGCGTGCGCGTGTTGTATATGTATATGTGTGGGAGAAATACCCTTGCCTCTCATGTTTGGAGTGCTTGATTTACGTGAGTCCCCTTGCCCCTCACGTTTGGAGTACTTGATTTACGTGAGTCCCCTTGCCACTCACGTTTGGGGAGCTCGATTTACGTGAGTCCCCTTGCCCCTCACGTTTGGGAAACTTGATTTACGTGAGTCCTCTTGCCCCTCACATTTGGAGTACTTGATTTACGTGAGTCCTCTTGCCCCTCACGTTTGGAGTACTTGATTTACGTGAGTCCCCTTGCCCCTCACGTTTGGGCTGCTTGATTTACGTGAGTCCATTACGTGATTTCAACTAACCTAAAAAGAAGGGCAAATTCTATTGATAAACAATAATAATTGACTAGAAGAAGAAAGCCATTTTACGGTCGAAGCTGGATCACAGTGCTTATTATAATTATGTGAATTTTATATACTGCGTATGTAGTACCCCCCATAAATCGTGACGCTGATAGTTTTTCAGCATTGACGCATACATAATTACTACCGCAGTAGTATCACTTAGTTAAATTGACTAGCAATCTAACAATTTTTGATGCTTATAGCATCTTATTGGATCTTAATAATATGTTGAAAGACATATATTAAATTTTTAACAAAGTAATGTTGAAGTAAAGATAAATCTATCTGTGAAAAATAAGAATGCGAAGAATATCACAAGTTGGCGTTTCGTCCCGGCTTCCACTACTGGACTCATCAGTAAGGTAATGTAGTGGGAGCCTACCTTAGACGCCTGTTAAGTTATTAAATCGAGATTCTATATATATAGATATACGCGTATCTCAGCACTTGCGAGAATTTTTGCGAACATCTATAGACCTCTGATGGCGAGTCGACGTAGTGTTGTAGCCCGCGAGTGCTACCACAATTAAGTCTCGCATTTCAGCCTAGCAACAAGCTGGCGGAAATGCAAGATTATTACCGCAAAGCAACCTTTGCATTTCGGCATAGCAACGACTTGCGGAAATGCAGGGCTGCAAATTCCATAGCGCGTGCGGACAACGATCACTGATCGAGCGCAGGCAATGACCGCACGCATATCGAACGATTATTGCTAAAAAGCAAATCTTGCATTTCGACAGGACAACGAACTGCCGAAATGCAAGAAGACAAAGTCAGCATTGCACACGGCACGCATGCCGCTAGTTCGATGACTCCGTGACGCCTATGTATTCGGCGGTCTAAGGACCGGCGAGAGACTCTTGTCATACATCTAAATGATACGTTACGCGCGTCGCGAGAACCGAGTCATATTACATCCGCGATAACGAGTGTCGCCGACCGGTCTAAGTTACGAGCGAGGACTTTAACCCGAATATATTCTTTAATTAAATCAATTCGACAATTATAACCAACTATTCGAATTGTAACTTAATCAATTAACAACCAAAGTGTAATCAATCAATCGGGTAATTATAATAATTAAATAAAGGGTTACGATTACTTGAATAAATGTAATCAGTGGTAATAACCACTCGAAATTGTAAGTGTTATAATAAATAAAAGGGGTTATTTTAATAAAAGTGTGGTGCGGTGTGTGTTTGTTCTACGACCTTGACCACTTTCCTCGTTTTCCTCGTGGGTTCCAACCCTTTGAGCGGATCGAATCCCAAAATAATATCTTGTTGCACCGAGAGGTACAACAGTAGTAATATTCTTCGCAATATTTATCTAAATTAGGAGAACAACGTCTTTTTTCCAGGCTGACGTAATTTAACAAATACTAGAATATCTTTAAGACGTACAATTGATAAACAATAATAGACTAGAAGAAGGAAGCCATTTTACTGATGAGTCCAGTAGTGGAAGCCGGGACGAAACGTCAACTTGTGATATTCTTCGCATTCTTATTTTTCACAGATAGATTTATCTTTACTTCAACATTACTTTGTTAAAAATTTAATATATGTTTTTCAACATATTATTAAGATCCAATAAGATGCTATAAGCATCAAAAATTGTTAGATTGCTAGTCAATTTAACTAAGTGATATTACTGCGGTAGTAATTATGTATGCGTCAATGCTGAAAAACTATCAGCGTCGCGATTTATGGGGGTACTACATACGCAGTATATAAAATTCACATAATTAATGTAATTAAAAAAGTTACAGCAGTTCTTATTAATTAGATTTCTTTTTCCATCATTTATGTCCTCTCCTTAAGTGCTGAACTGACTAATAATACCTAGGAAAAAACTTTTAAACCTGATAGGATTCGAACTCGTGACTCGTCCACGGTCCAGTTCTGAGTCGTTCACCTAACGTACTGTTCCACTCTTACCTTATTGACAGAGATGTTTCGAATTGTCCATATATACTTTTAATAAAAATATTTTGTCTACCCAAACAGATTATTTTGTTAAAATTACTAAAAGAACACTTATTTCGTAATGGCAACAAAATTTTACCTTGTTATTTACAAATAGTAAGTAAGCAATAGTGAGATGCAAAACATGAATGAATCTGTCTTTCTCTTACGCGCGCATATTGTGAGTAATGAAGAAGAATATAAATTCTCCGTCGTTATGTTCAAGCATATAAAATCAATAGTTCATTTGCAGAATTTTTTAAAAATATTGCTGCAACATTATTAAAACCATGTTGCATATCTACATTTTAACAATATTGCTACAACGTTGCAAAAAAATTGCAATGTTGCAGCAATATTGTTGCAATTATCGGTGCTGTATGGGTAATGACAGATTTCCTAACCTAAAAATGCTTGAGAAACGTGAACGCTCGTGATTATTAGTTATTTTATTACTCACTATTAATGACAGATTTCATAACCTAAAAATGGTTGAGAAACGTGAACGCTCGTGATTGGTTCCGCTCGCTTTCCGCTATTCCTCTGCATGAATTTGCACCCAGATTTGCATTACCGAATGCAGCTATTGTGTATGTACATACATACATATGTCTCGTGAGGACACTCGAACGGGACGGACGTGTTTCGCCTCGTCTCGAGATATTTTGCGCCTCAACCAATATTTTTGGAAAGTGTTGCCGACTTCGACTGTGCCTTGTATCTGACAACGAGAGTCCTCTCACTCGTCTGGCTCGCGTGGCCGTGCGGTGCGGAGAACATTGTACGAACGCCGTAGCCACAGGCATCCAGTGTTTGGGTGAACGCGCCACTTTGATCGTTATTGCATCATTCATGCATAACTGCCCGGTTCGAGACTACCGGTGCCTTGTATACTGAAAATTTGTTTTTACTTGCATTCTTCGAGGACGTCAGTGGCTCAGTATCAGCCCGTTAGGGCTGCGGGGCCAATAAAAGAAGAAGAAGAAGAATATTGTGTATGTACACGCACCGGCAGAAATGCTGTCCCTCGGCGTTCGGCGCGCGGCGCTACACACTCGTACCGAGCGCGTAGCGCCGCGCGCCGAACGCCGAGGGACAGCATTTCTGCCGGTGCGT